GGAGGCACACTTCGCCAAGAAAAAGTGTGAGAAAGACTTTCGGAACAAAAATGAGAGCACCCAGTTCTGCATCCTGGCCAAATCTACGGGACAGATGGCGAAAAATGTTCAAAAGTCATTCAGGCCATTGGGGCAGACCCATCCACCTCATTCACGAAAGATTAGTATCTCTTAACTAATCGTGAAATGTTTCGCTATTGGTAAACGGACCATAGAGAGAAGACTGCGCGATCCACATTTATGGGATTGGAAATGAGCGTTAACACAAGAGTGCTGAGTTGTGGGCAAAACGCCGCAGCCGAGATTCCTACCCAGATCTTACTGATATAGACTCGAAATCTTGTGATTATTTCCGCGACGCGAACTACAACGTAAAACAACAATTATTCAATAAACAAGAAAATAAAGGATATTTCGTTAAGCAGCATTCAGAGTCGGCGATCGTACATACGATTAGGCGATTGGCGATTTGTCTATAGGGAAAAGGATACGTATCGATTTGGCGACTATTGTAATTGGTCGCTCAATGGGCGGAGCAAACAACTCGGATACGTATCCTTTTCTTATCGCCTACTCGCCTACTTGCCTACTCGCCTATCGCCTCTCCTAATCGCCTAATCGATATGTACGCTCTCTTCTTGAATCATCGCTTAATCGCATGTACGATCGCCAACTATGAACGCTGCCTTACTTCTGAGTTGTCAGTTCACAGTGCGGTACTGATGACAAGCGTTCTTGTTCTCGGCGGAGTTCTCATTCTGTGAATCTCTTGAGAACGTGCGCTCTGCCACGAATGCGTTTCTCACGTGATAAGAAGTGAAATTTGCGCTCTCTAAAGTGCAGTAAAGTTCAAAGCAATCAGTCGAACGGTTATGTTGAATGGTTCCAGACAAGAAGGGAATTCCGCGCTGGGAAATTGTGATGCCGAGTGTTTTTTTTTGGTGTGAGAACCTTCTTTCAAAAAAGTATATGTCTTTTCAGACAACGATTTCAAAATGTCTTTCGTTACTTCCCGTCAATGTGTACTACTCGAATGATGTCATTGGAGAGTCCCTGGGAGGAAATGCTGTTAATCTACTTACCGTAACGGCTAAATGTTCCGCCGCTGAAATTTCCAAGAAGCATATCGTGTTCCTGAGCTCACGTGTACATCCTGGTGAAAGCAATGCGAGTTGGATGATGCATGGTAAGCGTGCGCTTCGACGCTACTACATTCGATTTTGATTCCGATTTGCCAGTTCTGATCACTAGCTTCGTTTAGGTATTCTGGAAGCATTGCTTACCTCGTCAGATCCCCTTATTGAGGAACTTCGGGCAAGGTTTGTATTCAAACTGGTGCCGATGCTGAATCCAGACGGTGTCGTCAATGGTAGTCATCGATGTTCGCTGTCTGGAGTCGACTTGAACAGGTACTGGCTGTGTAGATCCTCTGATCTTGGTGTGAAGGCGAGGCGATAAGCCGAAGCGAGATGGTTCAAAGGTGTTACTTGGTCTTCATTATTAAGTTTTTGCCCTATCGCAATATAACGGGGCATTGTGTGACGATGCATTTGGAACGGCATAAATATTTAAAAGAACACTAAGTCCTAGGCGAGAGCGAAGTCCCTGGACTGCTAACGATTTCTAACCAAATTTGTCAAAAGGTTCCTACCCCCTTCTATCTGAGATGAAAACACCTCCTGTTAGAATTTGTGGGTACAAGTGCCGAATGGTTTGTTGATGCCGACTAAATGCAAAAGAATAAATGCCAAAAAGCCGTCATGAAGCCCTAGACAGCCTTCCCGCTAAATAGAAGGGCGCCATACAGTTTGTACGAAATGGCGCGCTCCACGGTAACTAACCCGTGCGGATTTGATTTGGGCCGCTAACGATGGTCCGTAATCCACGTTGCGGTAGGTGCTGGAGTAACTCGTCTCTATCCGTTGGATAGTCCAATTCCCCTTGTAGACCTATCGCCATTGTCTCACCACTCGAGGTCGCACACCGCATATTGCGAAGCCGGGGCACTTATCCCCCCATTGAACAGACTTCTCACCAACATTTTGCTGGAGGGTGCGTTCAAGATGCTCCCAATCTTGAGCTGCGCCATTCGCACGGGAGAGCAGTGCATGTGATTCCGGTGACATACAAACCAAGTCGACTTATGCATCCGGAAATTTATCACACAAAAGCTGTAATTCAATACATGGTAATTGATTTATCCACTCCTCACGAACTATTATGTTTCTCTTTTGTTGAAAAAAAAAGCCTTCTACTTTTAGTGTGATGTTTTGAAAACCCCGCCGTCTGTTTTTGTGGATCTCCATGGTCATTCACGTAGAGCAAATGTGTTCATGTTTGGGAACAATCCCGAAGAGTCATGGAGAGCCGATGACAAAGCTTTGCCCCATAATTACGAATTCATGGCTTTACCGGAAGTCCTGGAACAGGTATCACCTCTTATTTACTGCTCTCTGAGTGGTCGATTCGTTCTTTCTGTCCTCTCTTTGTTTATATTTATATTTATTGTTGTGTTTGATTATGTTTTCTCTTTTTATTACTTGCTATGTCTTATTGAGTTTAGTTAAATATTCCAGAATTCGTCGGCTTTCTCTTTTGATCTTTGCCAATTCGGCATCACAAGAGGGAAGGAATCTTCGGCAAGGGTGACAGTATGGAGACAGTTCGGTGTCACTAGGGCATACACGATGGAATCGACCTTCTCAGGGTTTGAGACGGGTGCTTATAAAGGGTTCCAGGTATGGTTTTCTAAATTTCAGTGCTTATTTCATTAATATTCATCATCTCGTTCAGATTGGAACGAAAGATCTCAAAGACGTTGGCCGTGAACTGCTTCTTGGAATTTTGAGTGTATTCAAAATGGGTTCTCCACCAAAGAAACCATCCAGAAGTGGTCTCAAAAAGAGAGGAAACTCAATGGAAAACGCCAGCGTCTCAGTAGGAAAATCATAATAGCAGCGATTCATGTTATTTACAGCCACAGTCAATCAAAGCTGCACCATCAGTGGTGATTAGAAGTTGCTCTTTGTTTACGCATTATTTATTGGGTCTTGTACAGTTCCTCCTTCACCTTGCACATATTATACAGTGTGTCAAATGTTGTGCCAAACCTTCCCTAATTTAAGTTTTAATGCCATAGCTACGAGATTCCGAGATGTGATGTTTCTAGGTAAAGCACGCAGCGTTGGGTAGCGCCTATGTAATTAGGGACAACCGTCGCGTTTGCACTGTTCAGAAATTTTTAGGGCCCCACTTTGGAAGGGGGGGGGGGGTTGGGTGCGAGTCCCATCATCACCATCGCCCTTGAAGGGTTCTATCAAGACCAGACGACACAGTCCAGCTCCGCCCACTTTCCTCTTCAAAATGGCTTTCGAGTGGTGAAGGGGGTAGGTAAGTCCAAGGTAGCGGCGGATCTTTTAATCTTAGTTTCCGCCTGAATCATTAAAAACCTCCGCACACAAATGCAACCCCATTCGTTCTTTCCCAAGTATAGTACAGCTTTCTCAACCCCGAATGAGTCCCCCTAACTCCCAAAATCGCAATGTAG